CGGCAATTATTCTTTCAACTCGCGTTGCAAGCCAAGAATATACATTGGTTAATCGCGAAACTTACGAGCCGAGGCGAGGAGATTCTGGCAAGGATACAGTTGGAAGATGAATTCTCTTCTCTTCGTACAATTGATACGCGTTGTTGGTTCTTGAAAAAAAAAAAAAAAAAGTTGTAAATTTCCACAACAACTTCGTTTATTTCGAACGCTTGTTATCCGCGTTCGAAGGAGTGTAAACGGATCTCGTGATCCACGGTTATTTGTAGTAATGTTTGGGGAAAGTTTGGAGTAAGAAGGGTATAATGGAATTCTTAATAGGTAATCTCGAGACCGATTATACACCGATGTTTGAGTTTGGGCACGTAACGGTTTCGAAGTTTCGATCAAACTGAAGGATGGAGAAAAATTATAACGATTGAGGATAAAGTTGGTCCAATTGGTAATTTAGTATCCATCAAGAATAACTAGCGGCGAATGAATACGAATAAATGTTGTTCGAGCATTTTGATCGATGATTCGGATTGGTGATGCAGCAAAATTTAATAATTCGAACTTACGAGTAACTTCGATATTGTTCAAAATATTGCAAATGATTCTAATAAAACGGTGATCAATTATAATAACTACGAACAAAGAGTTAATTTTTCAAGATAACATAGACCATTTTGTAACAATACCTTTTCATTCTGTATGAATTCGAAAGATTTGAATCGAAATCTCGTAATTATAACAAAAATATAACAAAAACAAATTCCCTAAAAAATAAATCGCAACGTGTCCACTCAACATCCCTCGCTTCTTCGAGATTTTCTTTCACCATTTTGAAATTTTCGAAAGCCCACAATTCAAAAAGCCACTCGTTTAATTCGTTTAAAAAAAAACAAAACACGTTATTTATCACGAAAATTGTGCGTGGTGGACACGGAGGGAAGGGATGAAAAGGAATGGAACGGGAGAAAAGAAAAGATAGATAAATAAATAAATAAATAAACGCGTAACACGGTCGTACGTTAGTGCAGTGATAATTTCGCAACTTGTAATGCTCTTTGGGCTTGAAACTGTTGAAATTATGGCGGTGGCCGCGCTAACTTCGCGTTACGTCAAAAGTTCCAACGCCCGTTTAACATACGTCCCGCGCTATTTATGATCCGACGTATATTTCCGCTTTGTAATTGTCCCTTGAACCTTAAACGAGCGAGATTCATCCTCGCGCCACGTGATAGTGATAACGACTTCCGAATTTTCCAACTGTCCTCCACTCTGTCTCGCCTCGATCCCACTTTACATGTACAATATCCGCTGCCATTTCACGAGAAACCGCGAAAGAACGATGTAAGAAGCCTCGCGGATTCTACGCTTTCGCGTAGAATTTCTTTTTTAAAAGAAGAAGGAAAGCAAAAAAAAAAAGATAATGCGAAGAAGATAATTCGAAACATTGCGGGGATTGCGGAATAATTTAATAAGGGTATCGGTTACGGAATAGAAGATTAAACGTGTAAAAATAATGTTCGGACGGATCGAACCTCTTAAAAGTTTGTAATCGATGTCTGAAAAGTTTTCTCGAGCTATGTACATTTAATACGATAACGAGCGGCCTGTAATACGTAGCTAAAAATATAACGGATATAAGTGGAGCTAATCTTACGATAAATATCAGAATTTTAATTTTAGTTTCGACCGATTTCACGATTCCTTCGTTTTAAATCGTTTCGAAATATTTCGAAGGAAGCTGGTGGTTGTTATTATTAATTGGAACGTCAATGGCTTGGAATCGTTTAGGCGTCAGAAATTAATATCACGGGAAATCAGGGGAAAAAAGGAGAATAAAGATCGACGTCGAATTACAATGTTCGATGAGGGGTGCAGCTGCGGCGGGCAATCTTTCTGTAATCGCCAACCAACCCCCCTCCCCTCGCCACTCTCGCCACTTCCTTCATCAACTGTTTCCGACTGTTGCACATCTTGGTGAAAATCGTGCATTTTCTAATTCTGAAAGGCAAGCTTGGCCTCCCTCTCTTCCCTCTCTCTCTCCCCGCGGAAGGGGAAGCTTATCTTCGAAGCTTTTAATTTCGAGCGGCCGAGCTCTTTATAGCTACGAGAGGTATAATTATCCGCAAGAAGGCGAAGGGGGGTGTAGCATTGAATATTTTAACTCGTGCTCCACTCTCTTTCGTTTCCTCCTTCTCTTTCTTCTCCCAGTTGCGTTTGTTCTTGTTGTCTCCTTCCAGTTCGCTCATACCCCTCCTTTTTATATTTTCGTCCTTTTCGTTCTTATCGACGGTAAGAAGAAAAAAAAAGGTAAGAAAATGTAATAAATATAACGCGTAAAATTATCGATACACGTGAAGCTAGAGATACAAAGCTGGATACGTAAAAATTTTAGTTTCGATTTATTTAAATCGAATTACTTAAGATTTTTTTCCATTTAATTTAACGCAAATTTAACGTATTTCGCCACGATTCTCGACAATAATTCCTTTAAACGATAAGGATCGATGAATTATCTTGCAATTTCTTTTAATTTGCAAAATAATCTCAATCGTCAAAATTTTTCCTATCCCGTCTTTTTTATATTTACCACCGAAATCCACCACCATTCAAAAGTACCCGAACACGAACACATTTTTTTACACGAACGAAACGAATATATCCCAAGACCGCATTTCGAAAAGAAGAAAAGAAAAAGAAAAGAAAAGAAAAAAGACAGAAAGGGTAAGGTAAAAGACGATTCGAGTCAAGCGACCAGCAGAGGCGAGAGATTAGCGCACCGGAGTTACCATCCGGTATTTTGCAGTCAGATTTACATAAGTTCCTCTCCCTTTGCACCCCTGCCTCCTTTTCCATCTTTTCCATCCTTTTAATCGCTCCCTCCACGCTCCTCCTCCTCCTCCATTTTTCACGCGCGCGCGCGCGCGCACGCCTCGCAAACCGTTAATTATCTGCCATTTGATAATCCTCCGGTTCGCCACCGCGCCATTTTATACACACCGTCCCTCATTTGCCACGATAATAATTTCGGATTCACTTCGCTCTCCTTTCCCCCTCCAATCCTTTTCTATTTCATTTTTATTCTTTCTCTCTCCTTTCTCATCGACAAAATCCTTTCCCGCGTGGAATCATCGTGTTGCGAGCAATGGACGAGAAAAAAAAAAATGAAGAAGGAAAGAAAGGAAGGAAGGAAGGAAGGAAGGAAGCGTTTTCTTCTTGGATGAGATGGAGTCAGTTGGTAAGGGACTCTGGACGTTTGGACGCGGAGCACGTATGGAGGCCGTGTTTCAAGAAGTAAGAACCGGAGATCTGAGTCTCTTCCCTTCCTGGTTACGTTTCTCGCCACGACCAATTTCCCGCAGCCGGTGTACGAGGAGAACGAGGCATAAATCGTTGATAAATCATCGGGAAAGAATGGGCCTGTAATTACGACCTTATTAATCGCTCGCCAGTTATGCCTTATGTGCAGTTTCCTTTTTCCTTTCCTCGCGCAACCTTCGTGCGTCGGCCAGTTCAAGCGTCCGCCATCTGTTTCTATTAATGTGTATCTGCTTAAAAGTTTCTCGAGAATTCTTTTTAACTTGGCTTCTCGTTTACATTAGATAGTTGGCTAATTTTACGGCTGGTTGCTTTAGATTTAACAAAAAAAAGAAAACAAAAACTCGTATAATATATGGATCATGATGAACAAAATCTTCCATAAACGTGAGAAACATCTTTCTTTATTAACATTAGTTTAATAATTGATCGAATCCTTTCGAAATAAAAGTTAGAGAAATAACTTATTAATTTCGAATAAATGTAATTTGTACTTTCAAGAAGAATCTTCTTTAAGAATAATGGATATTCGAATTTATCAGGCGAGAGAAAATCGAATATTAGAGAACTTATTAATTTTGAATATAATTGTTGTAATTTTGTTCTTTCAACAAGAATCTTTTTCAAATATAAAAATTTGTCAGATATAAATATATATTTCTTACCTTTTCTTGTTCCATGTACGGTTCCAGGATGTCTCGAGGACAGGCGGGTTGGTCGGACGAGCCGTGCGCGTCGTCGAGCGGCGGTCGAAGCGGGCGACAGTCCGCGGGGCCATCGGCGAGGACGACGCCTCCAATCTTCGAGGACCGGTCTTCCGCCACCTCGATCTGTAAAGGTGGATTCAGATTAGGCGTTTACGGTTGGAGGAAAAAGTGTTTGTACTCTTTGGTGCTCGCCCTGATGCTGATCGTGATCCTGAACCTGGCGCTCACCGTGTGGCTGCTCAAAGTCATGGGATTCAGTACGGTGAGTCGTGTAATTTGTCCCGCTGAAGAATTTTCTCTCACGTTACGTTATTCTTCTTCGATTCAAGTAATACAATGTAAACGATGAACGTAAGAAAGATTATATATAAGATAATTGTCGGCGAATTTTCTTTGATCGATGCTTCGTTTATGCGTTCGTGCACGAAAAAAGTGGGACGATCCGGATCTCGGTTAAATTAATATCAACGAGAAAGGAGAAGATATAAGGATTAATTATGATATCGTTAATTCATAAGATCTCTCGAAAGTTTGATATTTCTGTACATTATAAGATTATACATTCTTTAGATTTTAACCAGGTCGGAGTACCTAGTTTGAACAACGTCTATTAATTATCACTACTTTTACATGCAAATCATGAATAATCTTTCCAAATTAATCCACAAGATCTCCCTTAAAAGCTCCAAGTCTTCGTCCCATAATTACACGTCGTTTGGATCGCAAGTAGGTCAAAATGACGATATTAAATAACTTTAATACCTCGTTCCAACCCGGAAACAAGGTCATCGTGTTTACACAAAGACGTCCCCCATTTCCCTAAATCACGCACCGCTAATAACCACATCCTTGCGAAATCCTTTAAATTCCACGCAAAGAAAAATTAACGTAAATTAACTTCAGAATCGTATACGTTCTTTTTCCTTTTTCTTTCTTTTTTTTTTTTT